GAAGATTGGAGACTGACGAGCATTAGGCTTGAGATGGATTAATGATTGTACATTGAGCGTTGACCCTCCTATACTGAATTTTATTGTTGTTAACAACCATTTGATCAATAAATATGAGAGATGCCCTCTCAAAAAAAAAAATAAAATAAAATAAAAAAAAGTTTCCTGTTGAGCCACAGAGTTTGCACGCAGAGCTTGCTTTCTCGTGATATTGGCTTTGCTCTCAGGGTGATGCTGGCTTTACACACCGAATTGGAGAGTGTCCTCTCTTCTTTTCTTTTTTGGAAAAGTTATGAAAGATAGGTGTCCCTCTTTAAACATTTGGTGAGACCACTGGCCCTGGGCTTTTCCTTGTGGAAAGTTTTTTGATTACTACATGTATAGAGAAAAAGACACTAGATTAGTGTTTGATGTTTGCTAAGAAACTACTGATTGCCTATGATTCAGTAGGCCTGCTAAGGGGCAGGTTTTTTTTTTTTAGGGTGATGCAAATGTTCTAAAATTAGATTGTGGTGACGGTTACACAACTGTGTGAATATACTAAAAACATGGAATTGCTCCTTTTAAGTGAGTGAACTTATGGCATGTGAATTATACTTTAATAAAACTGTTTAAAAAACATTGATTCTAGTCATCATCCTACTGTTGCTCTTTTCTGTTATTAATTTCTGCTTTCTTTCCTTTTGAATTCTTTCGGTTTGCTCTTTTATTTCTAGATTATTAAGTTGCAAATTTAATTCTTTCATTTTCAATTTTTAAGTAGTTTACTTAAAGTTATATATTTACCTTTCAAATCATGTTACCTACATCCAACAGTTTTCTAAGGTAGTATGTTCATTATATTGTAAATATTTTGTAACTGTCATAGATTTCTATGTCCTTAAAATCATAATTTTAAAATACTTAAAATATGTTCATATTTTGCAATGTCTACTCCAATTTCCTCTTTCCCCATGAATTATTTGGGGGTATGTGTAAAAACTTCCAAGTATGTGTTTGTGTTGACTCTCTTGGTGAATTTTCATGTTTATGATTATGCAGTACCCATATTTATCCTTAATATGTTGTATCTGAAATTCTATTTTGCCTAATATTGATATTATCATACAAAATTTCTTTAGTTATTAATTGCATGGTACCGCTTTCCATCTTTCTGTGTGATTGTGTCTTCAATTTTGTTTGTGTTTCTTGTAAACAGCAAATAGCTGGCTTAAAAATGTCCAATCTGTTAAAATCTATCATTCATGAGATGAATTTAATACATTTTCATTATAATCACTAACTTGTTTGCACTTACTTCTATCACTTTTTTTTTTTACTATCCAGTTTTATTGGATTAAACTATATATATTATGCTTCCAAGCTTTTTTTTGGATAAAGGTGTTGTGTTTTTAGTTTGTTTTTTTAAATATTCTCCATGCATCTCTTCCTCCTTCTCTGTGGGTGTTAAAGCATTTCTATTGTTTTAATCACCATCTCCAATCTTCAACTATAACATTATTCTATTCCTAAAGTCTAAATTTATTCCAGAAAGTTTAGAATGTTACAAACTACCTAAGCATTTTAAACTACCTATTAAACAACCACTTCCTAGAGCTTTTAGCCTTTTTCTTCAAAATTGCTAAAATAGCCTTTAAATAATTGACATTAAATTAAATCAATCAGCATGTTTTGTTAATATTATGTTTGTCACTGTTGTATCGCATGCCTTTCCTCTGGGTTCACTTTTCCTTTTCTTAAATGCATCTTAAATATTTGGGCTTATGAGCATCAACTGATTGCAGACTCTCTTGGTATTTATGAATCTAAAAACATCTTTATTTGGCTTCAATTTTTTTGGAATGGTAGTTTGTCTGGGTATAAAAGTCTAGCCTAAGATACTTAAACTCAGCCTTTTTAGGACATTATTCTTTCATTTCCTGGTATCCACTGTCACTATCAGTTTAATTCTCAGTCCTTAATAAGTAATCTGTCTTTTTACTCTAAAAATTTTAAATATTTTTTTACTTCCCTTTGTTCTTGATGCTTTATAGTTTCATTACACTTATTACCTTATAATGATTAATATTGATTTATCCCTCTGAGTCCCTGGGCTTAACTTTTACTCTAATGACTCATGTTTTTCTTCAGTTCTAGAAAAACATTGGAAAATATCTCTTCAAATATTTCTTTTCTACCTTTCTGGGAAATTCTACTAGATAGATATAAATTAGACTTTTCCATTTGTCCTCTAAGACCTTTAACTGTTTTGTTGTATTTTTTTTTCTGTCTTTTTATGATGCATGCTAGTGAAATCTTCAGTACAATTTTCCAGTCTGTACAGTCTAGCTATCAAATTTTTTCAGTAAATATAATTTTTATGTCCAAATATTTTGCATTGTTTCTTTTGTATCTTCCTATTTTATTTTACTCCTGTTTTTGCTTGCCAATTTCTGTTCTATTTTTAGTGATGCTATTCTTTCACTTACCTCCTTTTTTACCTTAAAGTCTTTGTCAGACTATTCTTGAACTTTAATTCATTCTTCTTGGTGACTTAAATTGGCTATCGGTCTCGTATTACATTTTGTTCTTTTGGTATCATGTCTCTTGGCTCATTCTGGGAAGGAATTAAGTTTTTCTTGTTTTTCTTTCTATTTTTTCCTTCTCTGCCCATCCCTTGTACTCTAGTTGCTTTTATGACTGCCTCCATCTGGGTCCTTGGGGCTTGCTGACTAAACAGTCTTAAGTTGCAGTTTTGGAGCTCATATACCGTAAGGATTGGGGCTTCTAGAATTAATGTTTATGGCCGATCCAGTCATACAACAAACAGTTAGCTTCTTTCAGATCCTGGAGATGAGGCTGCTTTTAGGTCCTACCAATTCAAGGAGACAATATTCCCAGGCAACAATTAGCAGAACTTTTCTTAGCCTTTTTAAATTAATTTTTTTAGTTAGGGGAGTCCCACCCCAGTCTCCAGCTTGATTCCTATTGCCACTGTGTAGAGAGTAATTTCAGTGACCATTATCTCGGAAGACCCAAACTCCCATATGTCTTTCCCTGGTTCCTGCTCCAGAAGCAGGCCAAGATCTTTTGTGTTGTATGTTACTGATTGCTTTTCTGGTCCATGCACCTGGTCCACACAGATACATATTATGTCTTGAACCTGCTTATACTGTCTTATTTATCTATACATTGCCATCAATGTTCTTGCTTCAAGTGTTGGGGGGGTATGCAAAGTATGTACTTAATCATCTAATCGTGATGCCTCCTCAGGGTGGTTCTTGCTTAAGTACAATTTCCAAATTGTGATACCCTGCGGTAAACTGAAATAAATGCTTCCTTTGTGCTTTCTAAATTTTAGAGCAGTAACAGAATTAAAATGCAAGCCACATATATACTTTTAAATTTTCTAGTAGCTACACTAAAATACACATAAAGAAAGAGGTAAAATTAACTCTCATAATATATTTTATAAGCAGATCTTCCAGTACAGAATCTTCCTCAACTTACAGTGGGGTTACTTCCCATAAATCCATCATAAGTTGACAATATCATAAGTCTAAATTGCATTTAATACCCTAACCTACTAAACTTAATAGCTTAATGTTGCCTACCTTAGTGTTCAGAACACTTACATAAACCTACATTTGGACAGAATCATCTAACACAAAGTACTGATATTCTCATGTAATTTATTGGACCCTGTAATGAAAGTGAAAAACAGAATGGCTGTCACTTTATTGGTTGTTTACCTTTGTGATCCTGTGGCTGACTAGGAGCTGCAGCTCACTAGCCTGCTCAGCATTATGAGAAAGGATCAAACTGTGTATCACTAGCCTGGGAAAAGATCAAAATTCAAAATTCAAGGTATCGTTTCTCCTGAATGAGTATCACTTTTGCACCATCATGAAGTTGAAAAATCACAAGTCAAACCATCATAAATCAGGGACTAGCTATAAATTCAACATATAGTCATTTAAAAAATCAATATAAAATTATAACTAAGATATTTATTTTTTTCATTCTAGATTTTTGAAATCTAGTGTTCATTTTATACTGACAGCATATCTCAATTCAAAGTAGTCATGTTTCAAATGCTTAATAGCCACATGTGTCTAGTGGCTTCCATATTGGATGGTGCAAATTTATACTATGCATAAAATTATAGTAAATTTAGTCACTACCACCATTATTTGAATTTTTTGGACCTTTTTGTTCCAAGAATTTCATTAAGTAAATAAGATGCACAGAGCAAGAAGCACTTAGCCTCAAAAGCTCTATTTTTCTCTCTATTATACATGTTACCACAATGCTAGTGTATTTGGAGAACCCTCCTTACCTTCTCTCTTTGATTCGAGAGAAGATATTGAAGTCTTATGTATATATACTTATAATAGAAACGAGACCATTTATGCTATCAATCTTGAAAAACTGGTTTCTGAAAAAAATCAGTTTTAGTTTTACTGAGTGACATAAAATGAGAATATACAAGGTTCAAAATGGTCATACATTAATTACCTAGTAAATTAATTAGAGTTAAACTCCATTACTACCAAAAACCATTTGAGGGTGCTGGAAAGGATTACAGAGGCTTCAGAAGTGTAAAATATGATGGAGTTATATGGAATTTTTTTCAATTGAGATTAATTTTCAATTTTCCACAGACAAAGGATATTAGGTTTTATTGAGTGTTCTAACAATGATTCTCGTTGGCTGCTTACATTCTAGGTATTTCAGGCAATTAGCCAGATCTGTTTGGATGCAAGAACTCTTTGTCCTCTATGTGGGTATTAACAAACCTTGCTACTTCTGGGGTAAATAATCCTTCCAAAGTATATTGTTACATTATTAAATCACTTGTTTTCTAAAACATGAGATCACCTTTCCTCAAGATCTCTAAATCACACAACTTTATTAAACTGCTTATTTATACAGCTTAGAAACATTGATAGTTCATCATTCTCCTGATTTTACAGCCAATCTTTGGACATGCTGATTTGTCACATCTTTTGAAAGCTCTTCCTTCATCAGTAGTGGTTTTCCCCAGTAATTCCCAATCATGTTGTATTTAATGAAAACAATACCAGTAATCACACTGGTACATAGCCCTTTCCTCTTGGGAATCTCCAAATTGTTTCCAGATTGGTGGGGGTCAGTTTTCAAAAGCTCCTCCTGAAGAAAGCAGGGGAAGGGTTTGGTTCCAAATCAAGGTAGGGGGTGGGGTGTGAGGCTCCAGGCAGGATTGAACCATTACCCATGTCATTCAGTCCATCTGCGCTGTAACATTTCCATTCTGATGAATGTCCCAAGAAGCTGAAAGGCACCTATTTGGCGGGGACTCCTTTGGTGCTGGCTGAGGAAACATCATACTCTCATCACAGCTGGATATGACAGGTTCCAGGATTTTAGAAACTGTTCTTGGCAGGAATGGGGGGAGCGTTTTTATGTCCTATCATCAGGAAAGCATCATTTCCTTTGTAAGTAGGATGTCCCACCCCAGATCTTTTTATCTCTGTTACTGTGATTTATTTTTGCCTCTAACACTTATACCATATCATATGTTACATATTTGTTAATTTTCTGTCTCTTCCCAGTAGCATGTAACCTCCATGGAATTTCTAGCTTGGTCTGCTGTGTTCTTAAGTGTCTTTCTTGCCCCAGGCAGCAAATAGGAGCTCAGCAAATACAAAGTGAATGAGAGAATGAATTTACACACAAGAACTGGTTTTCAAATCTCAAGTAGAGTTCAAGAAGTCTAGATTAAAATCACAGCACTGTCGTTTCTTTGCTGCTTGAGATCTTGAGGGAGCTGCTCAAACACTCTCTTTTAAATGTTTCTCAGGTATGCAGTGGAATAATAAATGTGTACCTTGCAGGGTGATTGAGGATTAGATGGTGTAAAATGCTCAGCCAAGTGTGGGACCTGGCTTGCAGGAAGCACTCAGAAAGGGTAGCTGTTACCGTTCCAATGGTTCCTCACCTGGAAAGGTGTTAGAACTTCGAATCCTTACGTCAACCATGGGGTTGAAGCGTCAGGGCTAAGTCATATTCCTTCAAGGATCAGGGGCAAGGTATGGTCATGGTCACAGATCCCAGGACCTCCAGCACAGCAGGAACATGCTGAGGAAACACAGTCTTCAAGAATACCTTGTTCCACACACTGGGCCACAGGTCTGTTGCATATCCTAGCCCGGTGGGGACAGTTTCTGGGAAGGAGAGGGGGCTCATGAAACCCCCCACAGCATGTGGCTTTTGACAATCAGAAGGGGGAAATCCCCTCTGGCAGGGGGGTTATCAAGTTCACTAGGGAATGGTGCTCTGCCCTTCTTTGGACAGGCTGGAGAGTGGGGGTTTCATTCCTAGACCCCTGATTACCTCTTCCCCAGTCCTTGTGCTGAAATAGCCGTGTTAGAGTGGCAACAGCTGACTAACCAAGCCAAACCCTTCACCTATGGGAAAAAAAGAGATAACCCTGCATTCTTGCTTCCCCTCCTAAAGCCCTCCTGAAGGAGGCATACCTCCAAAAGCAAGTGGCTGTTGGCCCATAGCCTTATCTGCTTCTCAAAGCACAGAAAGAATGTCTTAGCAATCATTTTCAGTAAGTGGTTCTGTAGAAATGCAATATTAAGCTGATAAGCATTCCTGACACTTCTGGGAGTGGGTAGATTTAGGAGCACTTCAAATGAGTTAATAATATAGTGGAAAAAACAAGACAAAGATATGAAAAGCCACTTTTAAGTTTGCACTTTTACACATGTGAGATATTGTTATCATTATGCAGGCTGTATTTTTCAGATTAAGCAAAGGGAGATGAAAGGATTTCAAAGACAAGGCAGACAAATAAAGATTGCCATTGAAACGCATGTGTGCATATACTCTGTGCAAGCCTCTCATAGCTCGGCTTCTCCTCGCTGGACTCCTGGCCAGATCGTGGTCATGTGGGAGTCCTGACCCTACAAACTCTGCCCATTTCCAACTCCCACCTTAGCTGACCCTCCATGCAGGAATGTGGGAAAGGCCTTCCCTCCCCTTCCTTGCCCTCCTTCCACACTATCCCCCTTACCCAAATCATGCCCAGTCATCTGGGCTGCAATCCCAGCACCTGGACAATCTCCTTAAGCATTTCACAGTGAACTACATTCTACTTGCCGCAAACGTCAGTGACACACCTGTGTTGTCCCATTTGGACAATGGGAAGTTTACTTTTGTACCTGGAAGAGCTGAATAGAGCTGAATAAACCAGCACCTTCACTCTACTCCCCTCACTGCTCCCCACCCCCAACAAAGTAGGGGCTGCAGCAAGAGGTTCTTGGACAGAAGCATCACAAATCCTCACACTCCTTCTTCTTCTAATGGAAAGTCTCTGAGATGCTTCCTAGGACTGGCATGTGGCCTCACAGACAGAAGCAGCGTTTCAAAGTTTGGCAGGGCCTCTCGTAGCCATCTGTGATTAGATGGTCCTGACTGATCCTGGGTTCTTAACCAGGGGCCAGGGGCCCAGAGGGCAGCCCAAGGTCCATCTGAGGGTGACCACTTAAGGAAGAGGGGAAGGAGGGGGATGACCCTTGACGTCTTTCAGTACATTGACGTAAAGTATGAATTCCATAAAATAGAAACACACTACGTTAGCAGGGAATGGATTACACTGTATCCAGAAAACTTGCTTATTCCTGGATATTGAGTAGAGCCCATGATTTTAAGAAGTAATGCTTGTTTGTGGAAGGGGTGTGTGTGTCTGTGCGTGTATGTACTTGCAACTGATTCCAGAGTTGCCTGTGGGATAATCAGCAAACCCTCCTGTGGTTGAGCCTGTGAGGGAGACCCCCAAGGAGACTACCTCAAAGCCCCTCCTCCATCCCATCTTTCAAAAAATCCCCTGAGCACCGACTCTGTGCCCAGTAATGTTCTGTGTGAATGAATCAGTTCCTACCACCCGGGAGCTCACAGCCTGCCGGGGAGCAAGAGAAGACAGAGCTGCGCACGCAGAGGGTTGGGGTGGGGTGGCTGGTGGCTCCCGTTCAGATGCATGAGACGACAGCAGCATTGATGCGAAAGCTAATTATAGAAAAAAACGCATCTCTCCTGGAGTATAAACAATTTCCTGTAACTATTTTATTGAGAAATCCAATCTCATGAGGGTTTTTTTTCCCCCTTTCCTGACTAATTTGTTTTTCTAGGCTTTGTGTGTTTGTATATGTTTTAACCATTGTTGAGATTCCTATAAACAGGGCCTGCCCAGGAGAAATTTGGCACAGCCTGAGCCCGTCAGCTTTGCTCTTCCCCAAACCCTTTCAATGCAAGACGTACCCCCCCCCACACACCACACATGCCACACACGCATGTATCATGTGCACACTACACACCCCACATGCCCACACAACACACACACCCTTCATGTCGGGAGGTCCTAAAGTGCAAATACCTGGGCTTACCAGGTGCCTTGCCATCTTCCATCCTATAACATGGGGAGGGACAGAGGGGAGAAGGGACCCTAGGGAGGGGACACTAGGTGGCTGTTTCTCTCTCAGACATTTTATGGCTCAGAGCAGCCTCCTGGGGGTTCTGGGATCTGTTTTCCTTCCTATTTCTATCTCTACATCAAAACTGGCTATGAACATAATAATCCTTATGACTCACTTGGAAAAGTACATAGGAAGTCAGAGGTTTTTTTAAGTTTCCTTTTTCTAAAGGTTAAACTGAAGGCAGGAAGTTGCAGAGCCTAACTCTCCTGTGCCCAGCTGGGGTGGGGTAGGCCCAGCCTGGTGGTCTATACAATTTCCCCTTGCCACAGCTCTCCCTTTTATCCATGATTCACCTTCTCAGCTATGAAGGGGAATCCATCCAGAGGTGCTCACCCAGCACACACTCTCCTGCCCTTCTAACTCTCGCCTTTTTCTTAGGCTTTCCTTCCACTGCCCGGCCTCTTGCACTCCATCCATTCCCCCTCCTGAAAATGCTCCAGGTCTCTCAGTCTCCTAGCTTGACTCATCTTTGTCCCCTTACCTGAAAGAGTAACTCCTTTCTGTCATCCCTCCACCAGCTGCGTCAAGTCCTACCCAAAGGCATTGCTGAAATTCCATCCTCTTTCCAAAGCTGCTCTAATCACCTAAGCCAAGAGTGCTCACCCTCTGCGTAGGAAGGACTTACTATCATCCTGTTGATCTCATTCACGTAATTTGACAAATATTTGTTGAACACCTAGAATGCACTAAGTAAATACTGCATCCAGCGTGGGTCCTACAATGACGAACAAAACGCAAAACAAGCTTCCTGTCTTGTGGCTGATCCTCAGACTGGTTGTAGGTCATTTGCAGGGGAGGACTGGGTTTAACAGTTCCTTGTATCTCCCAGAATATAATACGAATTCAATCGAACTTACTGAATTGATTGACTAATGAATTCCTTCTTCTCTTTGTGCGATGCCATGCAGAATTAGAATCCACACCAAAAATGACTGCTCTAAGGCAGAATGTAGAAAGAAGAGGAATACATTTCATTCTTATTAAAAGTATCAAGTGACCATGTTTTGCATCAAATGTAGAACTCCAGTTTTATCAAATGTAGAATTTCGGAGAAGCACCCCAGCCCCCAAACCGGACAGCAGTCGTAAACATATCTTCTTCCTGCTTAGAGATTTTGCAATTCCAGAGTCTGACCTGAGAAATAGCCATTCTCTCCTCCCTCTGTGGAATGGAAGCTAAACCCTGAGTTTGTCTGTGTACTTAGACCCTCTGGGTGATGCCTAGTGCTGGAACAGGAGTTAACACAGCCCATAAACCACTAGCAAAAGGATTGAAAAAAGACAGTACTCAGAGGAAGGGCACACCATCACTTAGTGGCCTGGAGTCTGGATCCTGGAAGCCAAATTACGGTTAGCCACATGGCTTTATTATTGGCCTTGTTCTTTGGTACATATATTCTTAGGTGTACACTATATTTTTTTCTTTTTCTAACCTGCTCCTCCTTTCCACCAACACAGTTAATATTTAAATATGGCAAATAACACGTATACTGGCATTTTTCTAGTCTTAAGACACAGTCAAGACTCTTTTGATAATGTAAGAGAAAAACAAATGACATCAACTATTTCCTCCCTGATAACTATGTTACTTTAAAAGAATGCTGAGGTTTTGTTTATAAAAAGACACTGACGATTATGCAACCAGTGAGATCCATATATCCACCATATTTTATTTAGTGCAGATTCAATTAAGATTTTCAGTCCTCATGTAATCTTCTTTAAGCTTCATGGTATATTTGACAATCTGGTGAACTCTTATACTTACTTGAAGGTTGGATATATATTTTAAGGCATCAGGGAATGAAGAGTTCTGTTCTGAGGTGAAGAAGGTGACATGATACAAGCTTTTAGGTACATACAATAAAATGCACAAATCTTAGTAGTATCCAGCTTGGATGAATATTGACATGTATATACACTTGTGTAACTATCCCCCACATCAAGATATCAAACATTCTCACTGATTTTTTTTTCTGTTTCATGTCTTCGATTAGCATTAGATTGTAGGAATTTGGGGAGTCCATGACATCAGGTGACAAGAGTGATGAAGCAATATCATCCATGAAGCACATAATGAATGGCTGGGGAGGAAATAGGGCTACCTAAGGCTGTTAATGCCTAGGCTGGGGAAAAAGTGTGTTACCTTTCTGTAGCCCTGAGCTGGGCAAGCCAGTGGGTTTCTGGAGAAGCAGGTGTTTGCACACCTAAATAATCAAAGATTATCTCAGATAGTTCTGTGCTCTTGCTGTGTGATGACCCATTGTCAGAGCCCTGCTAATTGATCACAGGTTTGATTGACTAAACCACAGCCTTATGGATAGCGATGAAGTGCTTGGGCATGGGGAGTGGGAAGGAGTGGGGAGGTAGGCTGGAGGAACTTGTCAACCAGTTCTTCTGCACGATGCATTCATTTTTCCTTTTAATATTAGGTAAAGCTCTATTATGGACTAAGTGCTTGTATCAAATTCATATGGTGAAGCCCTAATCCCCAGTATGATTGTATTTGGACGTGCAACCTTTAGGAGGTAATTCAGTTTAGATGATCGTAAGTGTAGAGACCCCAAGCTCAGTCTCCCTCCACCCCTGAGGACAGAGAGAAGGCAGCCATCTACAAGCTAGGAAGAGAGGCCTCACCAGACACTGAATCTGCTGGATCTTGGCCTTCCAGCCTCCAGAACTGTGAGAAATACTTGTCTATGGTTTAAGCAGCCCAGTCTATAGTAGTTTATTATACCAGCCCAAGCTACCTAAGACAAGCTGTTTGCACTTGTTGAAAAGAAAACCGTTCACATTCAACTCAACACACTACCCTGTTTTCTTCTTATTCACCTAATATTTCCAGTGTTTAATTAGCATTTTAATGCACTATCCTTTTACCTTTGTATGGGTCTCAATGCCCTTTTCCACCCCTACAGCCCATCTTTCCTGATTATGTACCATGACCTGGATAAATCCTGCTGCACATGTCAGGCTCTGCTCAGGTGTTCCCTCCTACAAGAAGCCTTCCCTGCCCTCCTCCCTTTCACCCTCAGCCTGGACTCAGGGCTGACTTTATGCTCCCATAGCAACCTGTGGTGGCTCCCACGCAAACCCATTACTCTGTATTTTACTTTTTATTGTCCCTCACTAGACAGGGTTTCTCCCTGAAGGCAAGAGTGTGTGTGCCAAGCTCCAGGAGCAGAACTTAGAGAAGTAGGCATAAAAAATGTTTATTGAGTGAAGTATGTTTTTTGACGAAACTCAGAACAGAGATAGTAAGTCATCCATGCAAAGTAGTGTCAGCATGCAGGGAAGGATGGGCAAGGCATGCTGGGCAAGGACTAGGGAGCAGCCTGGGGTCCAGAATAGACTTCAGAGTCACAATGGGGCCTCGATGGTGCTGGAACTGTTGAGGCGAAGGTGTGTAGGGACAGAGGGGTTTGGACAGGAACTGGTTGTAGAAGCCCAGAATGTGCTGTCTTAGATGAAATTCGGTATGGAGGGTCAAAGACTATAGAATTTGTATCCATTTGAACAACTCTGTTATGGATTGAACTGTAGCCCCACAAAAGCTGTTGAAGTTCTAACTCCAGGACCTGTGAATGTGACCTTATTTGGAAACAGTGTCTTTGCGGATGGTCAAGTTAAGATGAGGTCATTAGGGGGGGTTCTAATCCAATATGCCTGGTGTCCTTATCAAAAGGGGAAATTTGGCCCCAGACGCAGATACACAAAGAAGGAAGATGACGTGAAGACACAGGAGGACACCACCGACACGCCAAGGATGCCTGGAGCTGCCAGAGCTGGGAGGAAGGAAGGGGGCAGAGCCTCCCTTGCAGCTCTGGGAGGAACTCAATCCTGCCGACATTTGATCTCAGCCGTCTAGGCTCCAGAACTGTGAGAAAATGAATTTCTGTTGTCTAATCCGCCCAGTTTGTGGTAGTTTGTTAATGACAGCCCTAGGAAACCAGCGCAGACTCCTGTACTGGACTCTAAATCACCTGCAGACAGGGACTACTTGGGGTAATTTATCCCAGAATCTCCTGCCCTTGGCATACTTGCTAGACATTTGTGGAAATCTGAGGATTAATTCTCCATAATCGAGACTTACGCTGACCTCTCAAGCCAAGTTTTCCTTGGACTTTAAATGGGAGGACCAGGCTAAAAAAGGATAGAAAAAAGAGGCTGAAATCCATACACCCTGGAATTTTGCCTGATTTTTTTACTGTCTCTGCCCACCCTCGACCCCCATGACACCTCCTTCTTTGTATGAGATCCCAGCAACACCCCGAGATCCTGCAAGGCCACTCATGTTTAAAACCATCTGTGAGCAAGGACAAGTGAGAACACAATGTCCTCACCCCACGTCCTGCTCCCTCCTACCCTGGGGTTTAGCTACCCCACAATTTCCTAGGGAACTCTTGGTTCTTATTATGTAAAGGTTAACTTGAAATTCATTTCCGATGAGAAAGTTAAGAAAACTCCGGGAAGCTGTGCTTGGCTAAGTGTTTTACCTTAGGTTAGCTTCCCATTCCAGAAACTTTGAGAACTATAAAACTGGTGTGATGGATTCATGTGGTCCCCTGACCAATGCAGATATTTGTAATAATAATCATGATAGAGAAAATGATAGCACAACCTCAGAATTTTTTCCCTTTAGTCAGCTGAAAATTAAACCAGACAGGCAATTACCAAGGTTTGGCCATAATATATAATATGTGTACACTGTGTTTCTGGCACATTACATATTCCATGGTTATTATTCTGCATTTTCATCCAATCATCTCATTAGTTTTGGTATTTTTGTTTGGTAAGTGGCTACAAGCTAAAAGTCAAGTGAGAAAGGCAGTGGTGGCAAAATAAAACACAGTCTCAATAAAGCAGGGCCCGCTGAAAAGTGTGAGCACCACTGCTGTGGGCCACAGCTGGGGGGACTGACAGGGGACCCCTAAAGACTGGGAAAATACCAAGAGGGGAAGGTGACACATGCCGTCTGTTATACCATTTGTACTGCTTTAATTAATTCTGTTATTCATTTTACTATCATATGGCAATTATACCCCATTCCTCTTTCTCAAGCATCATGGTTAGACAGCTTTTTGAGTGTTTCTATAATGCACTTAAATAAAAAAAACATCAAAAAAGGAGAGTGTCATATTAAAACAGAGTTCCCACTGTCTTTAAATATATTTTTTAGACCCTAGCAAATGCCATTGTACATTCTGATGTATTGTTTGAAGAAAATGAAACCTCTCTATTAAGTTCTAAAAATAAACTTGGACCCATTTTTATAGCTCATTCAACTGATTTTCTGAGTTATGAGTCATTCCTTGCTTTTGGTGTTTGATGTCATTTGCCTGGAGCTAAATCAAACCCTATTTTGGGTATATATGTAAAGATATGATGGATTATAATAAATCAGCCTGCTACTCAGATTTTTAAAAAATTTTCTGAACAGTGTTGTGTCTATCTTTTCTTTTCTTTTCCCTTTCTAAATTTTCAGGTCTCCTCTGTCTTTTCTCCTGGAGCTAAAGTTTTGTTTTGTTTTATTTCTTTTCATCTGCTCTAGTGAAAATTTCCCCCTTTTCTCTTTTG